GGCTGACAAATTTATTGGCTTGTTACAAATTTACATATGGACATATTATTTATACGTATTTCCGGTGGTAATGTACACTGTTTTGTTGGAAAATACTGGGAATTTTATATTTAATTAAGAGTTCTTTTAATAGAATCATAAATACAAACAAAATCAAGTTTATTTATATCTAAGAGTCAAGATCGGAATATTAGCTACTAGTCATACAAAAATAGCCAATAGCTATATTTAAAAAATAGCTATAAAAATCATTAAATTGAATCATTAAAAATGTTTTTTTTTTTTTCAAGATTCTATACATACTTTATCAGGAGAAAGACACTAATTTGTCTAAAAATACTTCAATAGCTATAAAACCTCTCCCATCTTAGAGACAGGAAGGTGATAAAATTAACATCAAAATTTGACGTCATAGATACACAAAAGAAAATTTTAATAATTTTTCCCCTAATTCCGTTCGTATTATCTTTTTTTCATATTGTACCACGCATAGAAAATATTAAAAATTATTATAAATATGAGCAAACCACAATTTTGTCCTAAATATGTACACGTTTCATGAATTTCAAAACTATTTACATACTTCGAGCTATTTTACTTTCCGCAAACATAAATATAAATTTAAAAAATCTAAAAAGGACAAATGACAATAGGAAAATTCATGGACATAATTACTATCCATCCACCACTAAACTCTAAAATTTTTCCTCTCTCTATATGTCTGACAAATAATTTGTACTTAAAGTTTTATGAATTGCATTCATAAAATCCTGAAATGTTGCTATGACATAGAAGCTACTACCAAATCTCAAAATTGTGTTTATCTGCTATGACATAGAAGCTACTACCAAATCTCAAAATTGTGTTTATCTCTGCCTAACAAGTTTTATGCATTTCGATCACAAAGCTATGAATTGAGTTCATAAAATGGAAAAAAAACCCGAATATTGACAATACTTCATAAATTTCAAAACTATTTACTTACTTTACTTTCCATTACATCTGTTTTGAAAAAAAATAAGCAAAACAACAGAAAAATTAAATGGCATATGTGATACGCCATTCAACATTTAACTCTCCCACACTCCACGACAAGAAATCAGTACTTAAAGTTTTATGAATAGTGTTCATAAAATACAAAAATCTAATCATTGACAACACTTTCTGCTTCATGAATTTGAAAACTATTTCCTAATTTGATCTATTTTACAACAAATACTAAAATTGTTTATCTCCCTCTCTCCGGCAAGTAACCAGTATTAAACGTTTTATGAACTGAGTTCATGAAATTGATAAATCCGAATATTGTCAACACTTTCTGAAGACTATTCATATAACATGTGAATTACTTTTTCTCTGTGTATCTGCCCCTCATGTTAAAAAGCTTATTTCTCTCTGGCATGAAACCAGTATCCTCATAAGCTTTTATGAACCGAGTTCATAAATCTGAACATATGTAAGACTTAACTATTTTTATCTGTGTACCTGATTCGCTTAAATCGTTTAAAATTATTTTTAAATAATTTATTTTTAGCACGATACTAACAAATATACATTTCAATCTCTATTAACACGTGTCAGTAATTAAATAAAAAACTATCTGTGTTTAAAAAATCTATTTTCAAAAAACGTTTAAATTTAATTTAACTCGTCATATCTACCAATCAAAATTAAAAAAAAATGACGCACTTCAAATCGTGTGTGCTGTTTCATGATATTATTATTATTATTGTTGGGAAAGTACTGATGTTTTGCAAAAACAAAAATTGTATATAAACAAACACATTTTTATTTAAATTTCATAAACTATTATTATGAATGGGGTTTCCCCAACAGGTGGAAAATAGCATTCAAACAAGACGTAGATAGCTCTGAAAATTTATTATTTATAAGAAATCAGGTAATGTGTTTCAATAAAATCAATGGTTGGTAATATAGATATTTTGCAGATTTGAAATACAATAACAAAAAATGATCTAAATTTCGCCTAATTTGTCATATACAGTTACATGAGAGGTCAGTTCTGCGGAATGCTAATTCTTGGAAAAAAATTATGAAGTCATTTTTCGTCTTGTTCGTTCACTACCTATTTCGAAGCCTTTTATCGATCCGAAAATCACAATTTATACCCTTAACAAATTTAACTAATCTCTGGTAAGTTATTATCCACTTTATACACGAGATTTGATCCTAATAGCGAATTTCTCAAAACAATTGTTCTTAAACAGCTAGAGAAAATAGCAACACCATATTACCAAGGACCCCAACCAATGTACCAAATACAAAGAGGCGTTGTTTCTAGACAACGTTAGATGGCGACCTCATCACGTAAGACAGACTATAACGACCTTCTACTTAGATGGTATAAAAACCAATGAAATAATAAACGAGACTAGCACACGGATTAATCGAGTAAAATAGCGATGATTGGTGGTATCCCAGGTTCGTTCCCAGGAGAAAAAAATCGTCATTATTCTCGAAAAATAAACTTTTATATAAACGTACGTATTAATAACGATCAAATTTACACAAAATATCCAAAATCACAATCGTATCCATCGATCCTAATTAACTTAAGTACCATTTAGTATTTTTTGTACGGCAACGGGTTTCAAAATACCTAAAATTATTTAGATTTTCTTCTGCTGATCGGGCGTTGCCGTTTTTGTGGCAGTTAAATCGAAATAAGGACCGATATAATCCATTTTAATTAATTGATGTTGCCGACATATGTATACACTCAGTCAGATGTAAACCCTCAGTAATTTTTGGACGGTATTTTATTGTTTTGCAGAGTCGGGATATACATGTCAGGATTGATCTCTTTCACTGACTGACTTAACGATCCATCAACGCCTAGACGAAACGGCTGGAGATAGAATCTTGAAATTTGGGGTGAGGGTCATATAAGGCTGGTTTCGTACTAGAACGGCACGAAAATTACCAAATGTGGTACCATTTATATTTGACGAACCGGTGCAGCTATTGGATTGAGTGTAGAATAGATGTGGCAAAGGGTTTTTTGGACATTCGAACTATAAGTATCCGAAAAGTACTAAAATGTACTAAATTTGGTACAATTTCGTAGCATGTGAATGAAGAGCTAAAAACTTAAAAATTGCAATGCGAATTATGATTGAGAAGTAGGTTCAATATAAGGAAATAATTTTGAAAGAGTGTACTCATGTGTATGAAAAGTACAATATGGTACTATATTTGGTACAAATTTAATTTGGAGGTACAAATGGTGTTGGAATCCTGAAATTTGAAATTAATATTACAGTCGTAGTGTAGGATTGGGATATGTATGTGGTTTTGAACATTTTTTACTTATGTGTACGAAAAGTACTAAATCGTACTACAATTGGTACAATTTGGATTTGGTTGAGCCGAATTTGGAATTATGATTATTTTTGGGGTGTAGGATTGGTGTATGTAGGAAATTTTGGAAGTTCGTACTAATGTGTACTACATGGTAACAACTTTAGATTTTGATAAGCCGATAGAGCTGGAATCTTGACATTTGGAGGTGGAGGTTCATTGTTGGTATATAGAATTGAGCTATTTAAGAAGTTATGGAAATTCCTACTAATGTGAACTAAATTTAGTACAATTTAAATTTTGAGTTAACCGATGTGGGAAGTTTTGGAAATTTGTACTAAATGGTACCAAAGTTGAATTTGGGTGAACTGATTGGTGCTGGAATCCTGAAATTTGGTGCTGACTAATATGTACTAAATGGTACCAAATTTAGATTTTGATGAACCGATAGAGCTGGAATCTTGACATTTGGAGTTAGGTTCATTGTTGGGGGATAGAATTAAGTTATGCAAGAAGTTATGGAAATTCCTACTAATGTGAACTAAATTTGGTACAAAATAAGTTTTGAGTTAATTAATGTAGGAAGTTTTGGAAATTTTTACTAAATGGTACCAAATGTAAATTTGGAATCTTGAAAATTGACGTTAGGATCACTGTTGGGGGTGTAGGGTTGGGCTTTGTATAATTTGGTACAATTAAAATTTGTGCAAACCAATAGAGTTGGAATCCTGAAATTTGGAGTTAGGGTCACTTTTGGGGTGGAATCCTGAAATTTGGAGTTAGGGTCACTTTTGGGGTGTAGGATGAGAATATGTATAGAGTTTTGAAAATTAGTACTAATGTGTACAAAATGGTACCAAATGTAGATTTGGGTGAACCGATAGAGTTGTAATGCTGACTTTGGGTAATAAGATTTCCATTGGATTGCATTATGTAGGTAGTAATGGAAATTTGTACGTATGTGTTCTACATGGTATTAAATTTGATATAATATGGATTTAGGAGAAACGATAGAGTTGGAATCTTGAGATTTGGAATTAAGATTGGGGTGTTTTGGAAATTCGTACTTATGACTGTTAAAGGAGGTAGTTATGGAAATTTGATGTGTACTATCTTGTACTAAATTTGTATTCTTTCGAAATAAGTATTATAGTATAAAGGGTAGTAAATGATGCCTAATTTAGTATAGAGTTAGATTTCTGTTGCGTTAGAATTGGTGTGTAGAGTTATGATATGGAGGTACTTGAGGAAATGCGTACTATAAGAGAACATACTAAAAATTTAATTATGGTCGGTATTGGTTTTTAAAAAAATTCCCACATTCGCTAACGAAGTAGCGGGCATATGCTAGTTTACTATATTTCCCAAAACAGTCTTCGACTTAATGGGACTTTACCTGCTTAGTGCTACTGTCACTACATTTGCTTCGACTTATAGATGTTCGACGTATGTACTAACAAATATTCTAGAATTGTTCCAATTATTTTTTAATTTAGTTTTTCGGTATTAGTCTGTCACACAATTCGATAACCTGATAAAAAAAATTCCCCTTAGAAACAGAATTTTTTTGCTAATTAAAAAACATGATAATATTTTTTTTTTTTTTTTTGGTGAGGGGACACTTGTCTTCACATAGACTTAATTAAATATTGACACAATAAATTAAATAAAATATTTACCTGATTTGATGAATCTCCATCATCATTATTTGTTGATTTATTCGATTTCACTTTACTGTTATTTCTTTCAACGGTAGGTCGATGATTTTCCTTGTCCAGCATAGGGTGTTGTTCTTGTTGTTGTTGCTGGTGATGCTTCTGCTGCTGAAGAGGTAAATCCGTTTGAGATTCCTCGCTATTAGTCATACAGCTGAAAATGAGTAAAAAAACAATAAATATAAAATCGCATAAACTTAAAATATTCAAAACAAAATGAATAGATGGAAAATATAAACAAAAAGCAAAAGAAAAAAACAAAAACACACAAATGCAATTACAAAAAATAATTATAAAAAAAACTTAAATGTTCTTTTTGTTTTTGCGTACCATGAGCAAAACGTTGATCTGAATGAATTCATAATTCTCGGTATTTATTTTTGTTTTCACTTCAATGTTTTGAATTATTTTTGACGCAGTGCAAAGAATGTATCATCGATGGCGGGATGAACAGACGGACGGACACACCGAAAAAAAACGTAGTAAAATCCACGTTCAATATTCTATACAATAATTGGAGGAAGTGTTATACCTTCCCCCCTCCTCAATTGGAAATGGTGGCTGTTATGGACGCGCAAATACACTTGCCGATGACGCGCACTCACGTTACCGCACAAAGGGGTTCCTCAGTAATATTCAATTGAATTGTCTCACATTAAATGAACCACAAAAAAAATCGAAAAAAATTAACACTTCCTAAAACCACCAATTGAACGCACGCACCAGGTGGTGACGGTTAACCAGCCACCAATTGTTTCATTCACCAAAATTGAAACCCCCAACAAAAAACAAACAACCAAAATAGAAAAGGTATTTCAAAATGCTAACGCACCGCGCCGTATATCAATTCGTCGGTCAGTATGCGCCAATGGTGACATTTATAGAACTGATTTGTTTCAATTTTTTTTCTTTCGTTCAATTCAATTTTTCCACCACTGATAAGAACACGATAACACACTTGTTTATCTTTGCATTATTTTACTCAAAGCTCTTTTTTTGTATTATAGTATTATTATTTTTGTTTGATTTTTGTTGTTATTTTTTTCTTTCTTTCTTTTGTATGCACGCAGTATTTTCGGTATTTAGCTATTCGAAAAAATAATTTTCAAAGAATCGGTTGCTTTCGTTTTCGTTTTTTTTTTTTATTATTCAGACCTTTTAAGGTGAGGGTCGTCGTCGTTGGCTGTCTCCCCTGGTTAAACTGTTTCTAAGCTTATGAATAATGAACTGGCAAATTTGAAACATAGCTAAGCTAAGTTAGACTGGCGGCTGAGTCTGTGCTCTGTGTGTCACAATTCATTTGAATCTTATTATGAGTTTTGAAAAGTACAAAAAAAAAAATCGTCGAAAGAGCAATATATTGTAAACAGAGAGCAAGCGAAAAATAAATAATAAAATAAACACAATACTACATGACATATTCATATGCATACGTATATGAGATATTTCAAAAATAAAAATGACAAGACATTTTTATTTGATTGCAAAATATATTCTCTTGGAAATCTGTAATTTTAACATTTTTGTGAATTTCTAGGAGACAAAAAAACAAACAAAAAGAATAACAACAAAGAGCTGAGAGAAGACAAAACAAAATTTATATTCCAGAATAAAAAATTATGGATTCACTATCATTTATATCAGGGGCCAAAACAATCATAACAATGTGCTAGTGGTTTTGAATGGTATGGGTCTAAAAAAATTAATCAATGACTAAATATTTTAAAATACTTTCCTTTTAATTGAAAAACTTTGATCATTAAACTTTAATTCGAAAGAGAAACCCCCTAATAAAATACTGTTGTTTTCAATTCTTTTTTTTTAATATTTCAAAAAATATATATTCAGAATAAATTATATTATTATTAAAAAGATCTTTGTCAAATTTTGAACATTTTTTTGAGATATTTAATGCTTATATTTTATATTTGTAAATTTAAAAAAACAGCAACAAATAGTTTTCAAAAAATAAGATTAGTTGAGCTTGAGCTTTCTCGATATTTCGCAATTATAAAATTGCATCTTTCGGAGTGATATCTACATAATTATAGACAGGTTTTCTTAACAGCTTATGTTTTTGTACTACAATTGTCTAGAGTTGGTATGCCAGTTTATGTATGAGGGATGGATGATTAATCTGATATCAATTCTATGGATGTGTGAGGCCGGATATGGGAGATATATTGAAATTCGAAAGAGATCCCCATTCTCCAATATTACCATTACCACAAAAGATAATGTAACTATGTATAGCTCCTCAGAAATTAAAAGTTCAGTTAGGGAAATACTGGTTTTATTTTTTTATAATTTTATCATTCCGCCTTCTAAAGACATCGTGATAAAAAACTCAAACGTGACGATGATGAAATATATCGGGATAGGCATTTAGGCATCTCCACCACGTAATGATACCTCCTGAAGGGAAGAATTGAGATACAAAACTATAATATTGGGTTCGAAATTGACATATATCGGTCATTAATGAAATAATGATAATCCCAAATATTCGCTAAATCCTACGCTATGTAATCAATATTGTCCCACCCCCGCTTTAGGCATAACCTCATATAACTTTGCAACCTAAATTGCAGTAGGATACTCTACCAAGCGTTATTAGTACCAATATCATAAATTGATTTTTAGAATTATCGGTATAGGTTCACCTTTTGGTATGTTCCCTATATTTACCAAAGTTTGGCCCTGTTGAACTTAACCCTTTTTTCACTTGTTATAAGATCCAACCATAGACGAAGATTTTTTTGGAATATTTTGTAAGGTCCATCCCAAGAAGTAGATTTTTGGTTCTGATATAAGCTTGTTTTTATATATAGGCGAAGATTTTTAGGAAAATTTAGAATTAGAATGGTCCTGATATAGGCGTGAATATTTTTAGGAAATTTATTTTATAGTCCTGATATAGGAGAACATGTTTTTTGGGAATTTATTTGTTTGGCTCCAACACATACGTTGCATTAGTCGTGGTATTTTAAATATTTTGTTCGGTCCAAAATTAGATGTGGATTTTTTTTTATTTTAATATTTCCAGTCCAGCCTTAAGCAGGAACTTTTAAAAAATATATGTTTTTCTTTTCAAACATAGAAATTGATTTTTTATATATATTGTAGCGGTTCAACCTTAAGTGTGATTTTTTAAATATTCTTTTTCGGTTAAACCTTAGGAGTGGATTGGTCGTGAATTTCCAATTTTAGGCGTGGATTTTTTAAAAATATTTTTTTATCCAACCTTAGGCGACGATACTTTTATTTATTTTTTAATCCAGTGTTAGGCGTGGTCCAGTCTTAGGCCTGGATTTTTTAAATATTTTTTTCGGTACAACGTTAGGCATGTATTTCTTTTTTTAATATTTACCAGGTCCACTGGATTTTTTTAAAAATATTTTTTTGTGTCCAGTATAAGCTCGTAATCAAAGAGCGGTGAAGCACCTCAAACGGTGGCCAAACCAGGACTAACGACCAGGGAAATTCTGCTATGCATTTGGTGGGACTGGAAGGGGATTATTTATTTTGAATTGCTTCCATATGGCCAAACGCTAAATTCTGATCTATATTGTCAACAACTGGACCGTTTGACGATAGCAATTGGCCAGAATTGGCCAACAGGAGAGGTGTCGTGTTCCACCAGGCAACGCTAGGCCACACACATCTACAGTGAACCGCCAGAAATAAAATTGGTATCTAGGGAGGATTGTGGAAATCGACAACTAGAATTTTTTGCAAATAGGGAGCAGGACTTCTATGAGAGAGGAATTATGAAGTTACCTTTAAAATTGCAAAAAATCATACAACAAAACGGTGCAAATCGGACATTCCGAAGCATGTTAAATAAAGTCCTATAGTTCATATAAAAACAATGGATTTATTTTCCCCCAACCTATCAGTTGTTTTGCTCCTTACGTTAAAAATACCGAAAATGGGGTCAGGGCTTTTTATATGGGATCTATGTACAACATGGACCTATATTTGAACAATTTTAGAAGATAAATTGAAAAATCTGTCCAAATTTTTACAAAAAAATGTTTTTCTCCCTCCAAGAACCCGCAATGCAAAAATACTGCAACTTCGGTTGAAAAATATAACTAAAACCATCAATATACCGACAAATTGGCAGCATGGTTATAGGGAATAACATAGCCTTGAGGTGGGAATTGAAAATACGTAATTAGAAATTACTGCCATCCTTCCAATATTCCCAAATTTGGACTTATATTCATAAATTCAATGCTCTCATACTAAGATGTTTAATTGAGCCCTAAGAACTGACGAACGAAATTAGTAGTGGGAGTTATATCTAAATCTGAATCACACACTATTTTAGACTCATTTCAGAAACGTATAAAAAATTTCGCCACAATCTGACAACTGTTGGGTCAATCGTGTACCATTTATATGAAATCGGACAAAATGGGAGCTATATCTAAATCTGAAATGATTTAATGGAATTTTTGCACATGTCATTATAAGCCCAATTTAGTTTATAACTATCATATCAATACCTTAATTATGAGGATCTATATTGACAATTTCCTACATTTTTTTATCCACCCACTAAGACCATTAATTGTCAAAATTATAATCAATTGGAAATTCTTCATAGATCTCCACAATACATACTTAAAAACTATGGATTTCTTTAAAAGCAAGCGTCTCCGACAAAAAAGTTTTGAAATTTCTCATACACATTTTGATATCAAATCAATTTATCAAAACATTGTTGTATGTAAGACTCCTCTCAATTCAATCTCTTCAACGGACATGGACATATTGATCGCCAAACAAATAAAAACGAAAAACATATGAATGTATGTATGTTAATTGTTAATCTTAATCGGAATGCAAATACATACATATAACAATACAAACAATATGTTTGTTTGCATATAAATCGATGCCACAGAGACAGACAGACACACAACGATGTAAACAAGAAAAACAAATAGCAGACATTTCGATCTTAGAGCTAATTGAGTGCTGCTGCGGCATGATTGACTCTCATAGACATTTTGAATCAATTCGATATTGAAGTGTATGTGGGATTGTCATTGTCCATTCATTCATCTATCACTCATAAATACATGAACGAATGACAGACCTGGCTTGACACCAAAATAGAAATAACTCAGTAATAATAAAATTAAAAATTATTAGCTTAGTTATGGAGGAGGTGGTCACGTCACTTTTTTTGGTCTTAGTTTTTAATTCAATTGATTTCAAAATCCTAATTGGTAATATTTAATACAACTATTTAACATCAAATATGGTTAAAACAATTTGGGTTACTTACTCATCGCTCTTCCTATTAACCATAGATAGATATTGGGCACGTGCTTCACTGTGACTCTTCTTCTTTAGGTCGTTCATCTTTTGCCGTTCATGTTCAATAACATGGTGACCTATTGAGCGGGGGAATAGAAACAAAAACAAAAATTGTTGTTGTTAGTTGTTAATTATAATAATTGATAATAACAATGCATGAAAAAATATACTAATAACAAGAGTGATTGAATAACAATTAGTAGTTTTTTAATTAACAATGTCAATAAACACCTACAGATTCAGGGTTATGGAGAGGGATAGAGAAATTACAAAATTTTGAATGATTCACACATTTGGTGGATAAATTTGTAATAAGTAATTTCCGGTGAAGGCCTATAAACCAAAATGTGTAAGAATTTTTATGAACAAATATCGTTGGGCGCCATTTACATGAAATCGGTCGAAAATATATATGGGAATTATATCTAAATTTCAACCGATTCAAAGCAAAATGTACACAGGAGGTATTTCTAGACTTAATTTACTACGATGTGCAAAATTCGGTGTCAACGGGCAAATAAGGGGTCTTTAGAGGACCATTTTTTCTGAAATCGGACAAAATAATACAAGGGAGCTATATATAAATCTGAACCGAATTGTATCAAACTTCACACACGTCATTTCAGATTTAATCCCGTACTTTATGCCAAAGTTCATGTCGATCGGACCAACGATGGGTCCTCATTGGACTATTTACCTAAAATCGGACGAAATTATATATGGGAGCTATATCTAAATCTGAACCGATTTGAACAAAATTATACACACATCATTCTAGACTTAATTCAATACGATATACCAAATTTCGTTTCAATCGGTCTAACATTCGGCCTTTGGTCCGCCATTTACATATAATCCGACGAAATTATATATGTGAGCTACATCTAAATCTGAACCGATTTGAACACAAGTCAACATACATCATTCTAGATTTTTCAGAACGCTTTACAAAATTTCGTGTCAATCGGACGGAAATTCGGGATTCGATGCAACATTTACATGAAATCGGACGATGTTTTACAAATATATGGGAGCTATATCTAAATCTGAACCGATTTATATCAAATTTGGAATACTTCATTCTAGTGTCAATTCAGTAAGTTTTGCAACATTTGGCCTTCGGTGCACCTTTTACCTAAAATCGGACGAAATTATATATTGGAGCTATATATAAATCTGAACCGATTTATATCAAATTTGGCACACTTCATTCTAGTCTCAATACATTACGCCATACAATATTTCGTGTCAATCGGACAAACATTCCGAATTTGGTGCACCACTTTCATGAAATCCGATGAAAATGTATAGGGGAGCTATATCCAAATCTGGTCTGATTTAGACCAAACATAATACACTCCATTCTACACTTAATTCACTATGGTGTGCAAAATTTCGAAGCAATCGGACAAACTTTTGGTAATTGGTGCACCATTAAATCGAACGACCGATTTAAATACAGATACAAATGGGACATTTGTATAAGTCTTTTTGCCAGCTGGAGCATTTTTACAGTTAGCCTTCTTATCCACTCGGTTCCTACACAAGCAAATATGTGCTGAAAATTTCCTATTAACCAGTCACTTTCGTTGTGGAAATTTACATCCCACTTCTTGTAGTTTGCTATACACCCAATTTTTCATTATCTTTAAAAAATACTCTGCCACAACTCACCTTGCTGGGCCAACAACAACTGGCGATTCCTTTCAATTTCCTTAATCGAATCGAAGATTTTCGTACTAGCTCCCTCTTTATTTGACGATATCGGAGCATCAGATGTTACTTTCGATATACGATCGATATCATCCTGTGATGGTACACGTTTCTCCAAGGGGTTAACTTCAAAACCATCCGTATCCAAAGATAAATTAAAACGTACAGCACTACTAAATGCCGATTCACTGGTTTGGGTCACGGTATGACTGGTTGAGTTGCTTCCCTTGGTCGTTGTTGGTGTAGTTGTGGAGTCTTGCAGACACTCATCATCGATATTTACGATTTGTAATTGAGGACGTTTGGGTGTGCTGGTATTTGCCATACCATTACCACCACCGCCATTCGTTCCCGGCAATTCAATTTTATTATTGAAAAACATATTTTCATTTACACTACGTGACATTACATCTTCCGTATGACGTCGTGGGCATAACATTTCCGCCGAACCAAATAGAGACTGGGACATAATGCCAATGGCTTCACCTATATCGAATGGTTTACTCGTTAGGTTATCATCCATTGTTGTGTTGTAATTCTTCGGCTTATTATTACGTTCAGCTGTTTTGGGTTTGAAATCTTTTGAAAGTGTTTGCCATTCTTTTGGGTTGTTTGTTTGGGACGACGATTGTTGTTGTTGTTGATTGGTAAATTCTCCCAATTTGATTGCCATTTGTTTGGCTTCCGCTTTTAACTCCTCATGATAGGCATGCCATTCCGATTCTTCTTCCAAATATTGAAATTCCAAATCTTCAAAAGTTTTACGATCATTTTCCAACGATTCACTGATATTTTTCAATTCATCTTTTAGACAATCGTTGTCGGGTTTCTCCGCTAGCATATTTTTTAATCTGTAAGAAGAAGAAGAGAGATTGATGGGAATTAGAACAATAATTTTTATAACATACTTTAGGGGGTCTTAATATACTAAGGGGGTCTTTATAGGCTATATATGATGGTATTTTTAGATAAGCTGAAGGGAGTCTATATAGACGAGTTGAAGGGAGTCTTTAAGAACGAGCCAAAGGTACAAAGTCTTTATAGAAGGGATAAAGGGCTTCTTTATAGATGAGCTGAAGAGAGTCGTAAAAGAGGAACTAAAGAGCCTTTATTAGCGAGCTATATGCAGTCTTTATAGAAGAACTGAAGGGAGTCTTTATAAACGTGTTGAGGGGTGCCTTTATAGACGAGCTGAAGGGAGTCTTTCATGGACGAGGTAAAAGAAGTCCAGCTGACAACAGCGTTTCGTAGATGGGCTGATGGGAAACAGGGCAAGCTGAAGCATGGAATCTCTATGGCTGCTGCAAGCAGTCTCTATCATCCCACTTTTTTCTTTTGAACTCTTCAACCTCTGATTCGAAAACCGTCATTCTGCTATTAGACCAACTTCAGTGTCATATCCAGGAGGTAATATCCATACCAAAGCCACCATTCCGCAAAGGTTTTTCGTCGACGGTTCACAGCTTCTCCCTGTACCTCTCCCCTGGGATGTTCGTCGAAGTAAGCTGGTTACTGATTTTTTGAGGATTATGTTCGAATTAATTCCGCAAATTTATCATTTTCATAGTTAGTGACCTTGATTCATTGTTAAAAGACAACGAGGCCTCGCCGAAGGTTTTTAGGATCCACTACGTCGAATAGGAAAAGATTTTTAGGTCGACTGACTTCGATGATAGACCCGACCCCTCCCGTTTAGACAGAAGGTTTGGTTTTAACCTTCTCCTTGGAGTTTTCATCGACGCAACGGAAGAATACAAGGCAAGAGTCAGCGTTGGCCTCTTTATCTTCCGCAATCCTCTCTCTATTCACTCTACCAACCCCCTCGCATCCTCTTCATAATCACTTGTTGTGTTTGGGATTTGGTCCCTATAATTGCAGACGCGGTCGAAGTTTTACAGTCAAAATACTGTCGGAAAGGCGTTGCTTTATTGTCGCCTTTTTAGAGATCTGTTTAATGGGTCTTCTTCTAGGCAACAAACAACGACTACGTGCGGATGAAGGGTGCCAATGATCTCCCGTCATTCAGTGACCCCCTCGCATCGTCTTCATAATCTCGGGTTGTGTTTTGTTCCTAGAATTGCAGACGCGATCGAAGTCGACACTGTTTTACTGTCATAAAGGCACTGCTTTTGGGCAATAAAAATATGCCTTTGCCGCTCTATGCACTGGGAAAGGTGCCGATGACCTCCTGTCATTCAGAGTCCCGCCTCGTATCCACTTCATAATCATTGATAAGAGTTGGATACGCGATCGAAGAGTTTCTTTATTTTAGCCTTTCTATAGATTTTTTAAAAGGGCTCTACTTCTGGTCAATATAAATAAGCATTTACCGCCCGACGCACTAGTGAAGTATGTCAACGATCACCCGTCATTCAGAGACCCTGTCAAATGTTCTGATTGGATAATGATCTGGATCTACGTTTTAGCGACCTAAACACGCCCATACATTTATTAGCACTGGTGGATGGTGCCAAGGATTCCTCATCATTCAGTGACCCCCTTCTGATAGATTTGAGATTCGTGACTGTCAATGATCTCCTGTCCTTCAGAGACCCTCTCACAAGTTCTTATAGTTTAGAAACTACTGTCTCTCTTTCTCTCTCTCTCGAAGGTTCTGATTGATTGGAGATTCTGACTTTGTAGTTTCTTGTCAACGTCTTGTATTTTTGTCCCGTTCCATGAAGCGGTTTTAGAAATTTATTACACTGCGGCAGATCTACTTGTCAGATGCTTCCTTGCCTCTGTGGGGACTAATTAGTCTTGTAAAGGAATCCTTTTTATGAAGTCCAAATGAAGATATTTACAAATGTCCATTGCCTCATAATTAAGCACAAAATGGGGTTAGTTTTTAAGTCAAACTTATATTCTTTGTAGATGGTCAAATGGTAATACCTACAAAGATCAAAATGCCATCTAGATGAGGCCGAATTACCCTTTGCTTATAAAAATCTGAATACGATTCTAGTTAGACCCTAATTGAACTTGTTTAAGAAGACCACAAAGGCTTCCGTTAAGGGTTTTTCTGTGGAATTTATTTCAAATTGTCTTTTGAAAGACTTTTTACATCGCAAATAATTGGTCTTCAAATGGTCCGTCATTTCATCTTTTCCTATTCCAGATTCTCTTTAAATATATACTCTTAAACTGTTCTCTTACTTCTTGATTTGATCCATTTTCATTTCAATTGATTGCTTCAATTTGGCTTGTTGGGTTTCTTCCATTACCCTTGTAGCATTACGTTGAGCTTCCAGGCGATGTATTTTATCCTGTAAAGCTTGAAGCTCCAATTCCAATTTAACCTTATAGGGATCGATGTCGTTCTGCAAAAACAAACCAAATTAATATCCAAAATAACAATTAAACCCCAAAAATCCCCCTTACCTTTGTTGCTTGCAGTTGAGGCAAACTACCACCAGAATTATTCGCGGATTTGAGTAAAGTCCTCGGTGCCGGTGCTGGTTTCTTATTTAATTTCGGTGAATTTTGCAATGAACTGGGTAAGCGTAAATTCAATTTCAGATTGTGAACATTACGATTATTAAGACTGGCGGTGTTATTGCTGTAATTTGGTGAATGTGCAGCAGAACTGGCCGAAGAACTTCCAGAACTATATGCAGGTGGTTGATAGCGGCTACTTTCTTCTATGGCCTCCATTTCGATTTGTAATTTTTCTCCAAAAGTCCTAAGGAGTTCATCATATTCCAACTGTTTGTTGTTGCTTGAGTTATGGGTAGTACGTGTTTGTGCCTGGGGTTCGGCTTTTTGTGAAAAGATAGCATTAAAACTTTGCTCCTTTTTCGGTGACATACATGTGGTTCTTATTTTGGTTCGTGGACTTTGAGGTACATATTTCCCTACCACGACATTTTCATAATTTTCCATGGAGCTGTTCGATTGACCATTGATTTCAACACGTTTGGGTCCCAGGACTCTAACGTTTTCATAACCACTTGAATTGTAAATGTTTTCACAGGGATTATCCGCGGAATTACCTCCTGTGTTGGATAGATTATTAAAACTTCCCTCAAAGGACTTTTGCATGTCATTATTTTGGAAGGGAGATTTCCTTTCTCTAGGTAAGGAACCATTTGTTATTATGCGATTTTGTACTATTGGTGAAGAATTGTTGGGGGTACTATTGTTGTTAATGGTGGTATTTCCTCCTCCATTGGGCGCCACTTGATTTTGTCTATCCGTATATTCACTGCATATCTTTAACATATCATCCAAATGTTCCTTTTCATTGTTGCTAATCGTTTTGGTCTTCCCTTGATCTCCGGCTTTGGAGTTTTGGAAATTATTATAAATTGAGAGGGGTGTTGCCGTGTTGGAGTTATTTGTGGGACTTGCCACCCCTTGACTGGGAGAAGTGGTGGTGTTCGTATTCATTTCACTATTAATACTGTTCATGGGGAAAATTTGTAAATGCCCTAATTTCGGGTAGCGATCATAGGCATTATTTTTGACTTTTGTGGAATTTTCATGATCCTGATGATGGTGTTTGGGTGAGGAGGATGCACCTGCCGCCATGGCTGCAACTGAGGTTAGCGGAACATTATCGTAAATATTATTATTTTGTTTGGATTGATTGAAATTCCTTCGGGCATTCAAGAGATTCTTTTCATTCCTTTGGGCCTCAGCCATGGTCTGTACATATTTCGGTGTGAATTTCTTGCCCAGCACATCCTCAGCTGGTAGATTTACGGTAACCAAATCGGCTGTGAAAACTTTGGGACACTGCAAACCATTGATGTCTATGGGAGGTAAATTGTTGTAGCTGGAGAATGATTTCTTGTTGTTGGAGCTACCACTGATGCTACTATTATTGTTGTTTATATTATTATTTTGCCTAGTAGCTGCCGGCTGAATATTGCTCTCATAGAACTCCTCAATCTCTATTGCATCTCCACTAATCATACTATCCGATGAACTTTTACTGGAATTCCTTTGACTAAAATCTAGCTGGGGCATTGAAATTCTTTCACTCGAACCCATGGCGGTGCGTATTTGATGAGCCTCAGCCGGATTATTGAAACGTAAATAGTAAGACTTGCCAACGGTTATCATGGCCCCCTGGGTCAAATTTGTTTCCTCCATTATTTTATTGCCATCAATTAAAATACGGGCATCACGTTCGGGCACCAGGGTTACCTCATTACTTTCACTGCGATATATGGTACAATGTAGGGGACGGATGCCGCTGCCGTTTAAGGAAATATTACAATGGGTCGATGAGCCAATTGTTGTGTCACCTAGAAGAAAAAGACGAATTAGAAATCAAAAACAAAAAACCTTATCATCTCTCTCAAATCAAACAAAAACACATGTCGTCTTGTCAACTAATTCGGACTTGGCGGCAATGATTTTGAAATTCCATTGAATTTCAAAACTCTCACGCACACATGGTAGAGCAGGCATACCCACCAACCGACTTAAGAGTCGCTTCGACTATGTTGTGTTATATTCTTATCAGTAATTAAACATAGTTTCAATAACAAGTCCCATCAATCCATATGGGACAGGCAAAAACTGACCAGCCTGCATTTGATTCGTGAGCACAGACACGTGTCTTTGTGACTTTTTTCAAAATTCTGAAATTAAATTTTTTTGTTGGTTTTTCATACTCACCAATTGGTATATTATGTATTGTTACAGCCGTACTCAAACGTCCTCCGCCCAAACTGACCAGGTGTGGATCGTTTGCCGCCACACAAAATGATGGATCTTTTTTTGTCAACGACATCTAAAAATAGTAGGAAAAAAGCAGAGAGACACAAAATGAAATTAAAATCCAAAATGCCAACTTAATTTGATTCACATTACAATATAGCGATATGACACCCAATGCAACAACAAGAAAAATAAAGAAAAAATATTAGGTGGATATAAATGGATTTTCAAAAAAAAAAAACACTAAAGTGTATGGGAATATTTCAGACACACAAAGAAGACATCAATGAGTGTATGGCTTCGGGGCACCACTGTCATCACACCTCCCTCCAATTACAAAAGGAATGCATTTTTCGTCGTCTGTGTTAATTTGATATTTTGTAATAGTTTGGGGAAAAAAACTTTTGGTGATAAGCTGTATGGATCGAAAAGTAAAATTTATGTATGGCACTGACTTAATATTTGAAATGGAAGGTGATAAATTTCCCAAAAGGCAAATTCCTCAGGGCTTATGTTCGATTCTATTCGATTCATTTGTGTGTGTTCCCAATGGAAAGGTGATACTAATTTTTTTGTTACAAGAATTTGCGCATTAACATTTTTAGTAAAAAAGGGGGTGATATGTGACCGAGTAGATTTGTTAATGCCCTACAATGAGTAGGAGACCACAAGGGTTAGGAATGGACATGATCATATTTTCAAGGCCAGAGAAGATAATTCCAACAGAGAGAAAGGTGTACATAAATATAATTTTAGGATTAAACTATTGGGAACATAGAAACTTTATTCGAAGCACATCGGCATAAGAGGTTAGGGGTTGAAATATTAAAATATGGTTAAATTTGTTCGGCTTCAAGGCCCTAATAATGTATCGATTTTTGTATCTTAATAAAAAAAAAATTATATAGTTTAGAGGAAAAAAGCGGTTCCAAATTCAGAAGAGTTCTACTGTAGTCATAGATGCTTAGACCATTTAAAATGTGTAATATATTTTAGACTTCCACAACTGGAGGAAAAATCAAATACCTTGTATGGTTAAGAGAAACATCAAAAGAGCATACTATTCGACGGGCGACGATCATTTAATGCCCTACATGGAGAAGAAATCCTTTGTCAGGACAAGAAGTTGATATCATAATCATATAAATTTTAGGGCAAAGAATTTGGACATAAATATAAATTTTAAGATTAAAATATTGGAAAAATTGAGAATGTTTCAACAATTTTAGGACCTCTAGATAGAAGATTCAAAATCAAATACGAGCTATGTTAAAAAAAATTCACTAACAGTGGGTGATATTCGCACGGTCAATCAGATAATTTCAAAAGAGAGGAAAGTGTTCATAAATCTATTTTTTATACCCTTAACTATAGTACGTAGTGTATATATTTAGCCATGTCTGCCTGTATGTTGTAATCACTCTGGCCTAAACGAATTGAGAATTGACACCGAGTTGTATTTTGTCTGCAGGCGGGAAGTATTAGAAAATGGGCTATATTGGTTCACTTTTAGTCATAGCTCCCTTAAAAATTTAAATTTTCAATATTTTGGGGTTCTTAATTGCGTTTTTCAACCGAATTCACGAAAATTTGGTACATTGGTTTCTTATTGCGTACCAAAATTTATCCAAAAAAAATTATAAATATAGGTCCACTCTTTCTGGTAGCCAGCATATACGTATACAACCTCCCCCCTTTCTGTCTGGAATTCTTGAGAGTGTTCTTCAACTGAAATCGGTGCAATATGGTACTTTGAGTTCTTATTGGGTAGGTCCATATTCTCGGGTAGCCCCCATATAAGGGTACCCTCCAATTTTCGGTATTTTGGGGTTCTTGGGCGCGCTGTTCAACCGAATTCTCTTTGATTTGTTTTTTTTTGTAATCGTATATGATAGCAAATCTCCCTCTCACGACGCCTTGACGGGGCGGGCTTCAAAGAAAATTTGGTGAAATCAGAATAATTACATAATAAAAACACTCTGTGCCTCGATCACGAAAACATTTTGGTAGACATTTGAAACAAGCCGCAACAGAGTTTGATAGTGACGAGCTGATTCCGATTTTGGTTATAGACTCTAATCTTAGAGAGTATAAACGGCTCTACGAAAGACTTCTTACCCCCCAAGACATGATGTCAATGGATGAGTGTACCAAATTCTCAAATTTCACAGGTTTTGTCTAATTCTGATAGTTTTTCCCAGGAAACATCGCTTTCAAGAAGACTAGATTCAAACAGACCTACAGAAGATCGATACATTTCTATGTCGGCCATCCACGCCTGTCTATAACAGAGACAAAGGATCCTCGTTTATAACATTATAAATAACTTAACTCATTGCGTAAGTTCCAGAAGAACCACCTCCAGATATCCAAAACCATCCTCAAGTCAATATTCTTCCTCTTTCGAATGAGCAAATGAAGGGATCCAGAAATTATCAAGTCACTTGTCGGTAAACTGGTTGATCTGTGTAAAGTAGACATCTGCATGAATGTACTCGTACAATGAATCCACATCCACATTCATGGATGTTAAGTCGTATTCAGAGTACACAACAACATTTAATGAGTGCAAATGAATTCAACCACCGAAGTTGTGTTGTTCTTCGTTGTGCTTTGTCCGATCAAACGATCAAACTTGAAAGCACAACATTCAGTATGATGGACTACAAGAACAAGTTATACAACATCAATGAGTCCAATGAGTGAACATCATGCAATGTATTTTGGATTCTATGTATTCATTCAACGACTTAACATTGATGGTGGGCATTTATTGTACAGGTACATGCAAATGTTTACCTTGTACTCTTTAAAACTTTATTAGTGAGCAATAGTGAGAAATAATGTCTTTTATTTTTTTCTATTGAATACAAGTAAATAAAAACTCCAGAAAAATTAAGTAAAAGTTAAATGAAATGATGTAAGAAAAATCGGCGGAATCTTCCTCAAGGGATATACAAAAATGGGCCTATGCAGAAAATTAGAGTACAAAGTTATATGAGGAGTACAAATAAGTATTTGCGGAAATACATATGCACTTTTTTGGGACTTAAAGACTTTTCATTTGTTCTTTATGTTTTTGTGGACGTAGGTCATTTTTTTACAAATTGTCTCTCATTACATTTCTTAATTTCTGTAATAAATTTGTACTTTTGTTGATTTTTTACATGATAATATTATTAAGTAGAGTAGAGATTGTTTATTAAAAAATATGAATAAAAATAATTAAAACGTCCTTAAGTTCGACAGGGTTGACCTTTTTATACTCACCGCCGCGAGGTGAACAGTCAAATTTTTAAATTGATCGGTATTTTTATATGGGTTTTATGCCCTGGTAAATAACTACCAAGAGAAATATCAAAAATAGAGACTATTGGAAATTTGGACTAGGACCTTGTACATACCGAAATCCTCAAATTGTCAAAAATTTAGTGTACAGTTTTGTTGGGTCTATACCAAATCGCGGACAGATAACGATAATTTTTTGTAAAAAAAGGATTGGACACACAATGAGAACCCAAAATAACAAATTAGAACCTACTCGGTTGAAAAACGTATCCAAAATACCGAAAAATGGGGTAAGGTAATATGGGGGAACTCCAAAACTTGGACCAATATTGATAATTTAGAGTCCTAAATATAAAATTACAGTCGTTTGAAAAACGTACCCAAACCTACCAAAATTTCGAATATTGGGCGGTACCCTAAAAAGTAGACCAATATTGATATTTTTTGTTGGAAGGTGTGCTACCCATAAGTACCTAAAATACCAAACTACAGACAATTCGGCTGAAAATCATGTCCAAAATCCTAAATATGAAATGTGGACTTAAAGCCTTTACGTGATGTTAAGTCAGTGACATGTGATGAATTGGACTTAGCGCCTTTACTCATCAATACAAAACAACAATAACAAAAGAGATAAATATATTTTAATTTTTTTAGATCGATGTATTTTGCCTTTTTATACATAACTGTATGAAAATCTCAATTTCTAGATAAATGGACTTGTGTCCTTTTCAAATTAAGCCAGCGAAAATGTTTTAAATATTTTGTTAGTTACTGGCAGTATGAACATTTCCAACACTTTGCAAAGAAGGTTTATGCAAACGAGCGTTCGCACACACATTAAAAACACACAACAGTCATCGTCGTTCATTGCGTTGGTTATATATAAGGGGGCCAATATTGATTACTTCTCGGGAGGATATACTTAATGTGGACTGATAAAGGCCATTTTGGAACGTAACGGTTTAGTTTTGTATCTCGACACCCCCGAAGGTAGTAATATTACAACAGAAGTCTTAACATATTATAGGTTATGAACTGACAAGTTGTAGTACTGAATATCCCCCACACTATGGGGTATCCAATTCGAACCCAAATTAAAACGAATTTAAAAAAAGTGCGTTTAAAAACATCTAAATATTGAAAAAAGAAAAGTTCTGCTATATAGTGGATACATTACTAGATATTCATAAATTTTGTCCTTATAAAGAATATATATACTTTATATGGGCGGAAATGACTATTTCGATGAGTTACAAAAAAAAAAACATAACATAACATACCCTTCATACTTTTGTGGATGGTGTAAAAACCAAAATATCTCGTCAATTAATTCGGGTAATTCGAATACTACTGTATAATTCGACACACTCATTGTGTAAAACATGTTCGTGTACGAACTTGCCGCATTTGTTCAAACTTTGTGTGTTACAACATACATTCATACCGAAGTAAACATACACAATAAATACCGGTTCGTCGAGTCTGAAACGGGGATTGTATGAATCAAACGAATACACAACAAATTCGAAACTCTCATACCTGAAGCAATTCATATTTGTTGTACCCTCACTCATTGAACTTCATTTCAAACAAATTTATAGAATAGAAGCCATTACTTTGTGTGAGTGACTCATGGGTGGTGTTTTTGTGCATTCATGCAGATGTCTAGTGTAAAGCTAGATGGATCCAGTGAGATCAGAGTAAGAGAAAGTTATTTCTTGTAGCCTGCATAAAATTTTGATTTCGATTGAGTTTTATCCCGGTACTTTGACATCTGGGCCATA